GTGTTCGTAGGACAGCATGTGTAGTTATTTGTTTCAGTTATAGTAATGTCAGTTTGGGTCAGTTTGTTAATTCAGTTGTTATTTATTTCAGTTTTTATTTRCTTTATTTATCATRTAAGTACTAAGGGCARATSTRTCCTTTCCATTATGTACTGAACATAACCTATAAATAATAAGAGAGTGGCGGTGGCAGATCTGTTAGAATCTGTCCCTCCTTTCAACCGCTTGTGTTCTCCTGTTTCTCTTCTATTCCTTCTCCCTTCTCTCACTTTTCTTTTGTTTTGTAAACCTAAAACCGATTAGGATTCAAGACTGATTACAGTCTTGATCTTCTACTTAGCCCATGAGTTTGTGGGCCCATTGCTGCTGTTCAGGTGCATGGAATTTCTGATCAAGTAGGAATTTCAGGCTCTTGGGGTCTGTCTTGATGACAAATCGGCGGCCCAGTAGGTAAGCTCGCCACTTTTGGACTGCAAGTACAACAGCCATGAGCTCCTTCTGATATGTTGATTTAGTTTGATTTTGTGGTGAGAGTACTTTGCTGAAATAGGCCAATGGTTTCCCCTCTTGCATTAAAACAGCTCCTAGATTTGTCCCCGAAGCGTCACACTCAAGTGTGAACTGCTTTGAGAAGTTGGCTAATGATAGAATTGGTGATGTAGAAATTGCTTGGTTTAGATTAGTGAAGGCTTGCTGGGTTTGCTCACTCCATTGAAATGCATTTTTCCTTAATAATTGGGTGAGTGGTGCTATTAGCCTTGCATAATGTGGTATAAAGTGCTTGTAGTAGCCTGTGAGGCCTAGAAAAGCTCGCAAGGCCTTGACTGATGTAGGTGTTGTTCATTGTTGAATGCAAGCAACTTTCTCCGGATCAGCCATGACCTTCCCTTTTTTGACCACATGGCTTAGGTATTGGACTTGTTTTTGTCCAAAAACACATTTAGAAGCCTTTGCATATAGTTGATGTTTTCTTAGAAGTTCCAAAGTGATGGTTAAATGTTGTAGATGAGAAGCCCAATCAACACTATATACCAAAATATCATCAAAGAAGACTAGAACAAAGCGGTGCAAGTGGGGACGGAATACCTCATTCATGATGGCTTGAAAGGTTGCTGGTGCATTTGTCAATCCAAAAGGCATGACAAGAAACTCATAGTGACATGTGTACGGAAGGCTGTTTTAGGTACATTTGCTGTATGCATCTGAATTTGATGGTAACCGGCTCGTAGATCAAGCTTAGAAAATATGGTAGCAGCATGTAAATTATCCAATAGCTCGTCAATGATTGGAATGGGGAACCTGTCCTTTACTGTGATCTGATTTAGAGCCCGATAGTCTACACAAAACCTCCATGTTCCATTTTTTTTCTTGACTAGGACGGGTGCTGAACATGGACTTGAACTGGGCTGTATGAATTTTTTCTCTAGTAATTCTTGAACAATTTTCTCCATCTCTTCCCTCTGAAATCTGGGGTAGCGTTAAGGTCTAACATTTGATGGAGCTGACCCTGGGATGATCTCAATTCTATGGTCCATGGGTCTGGAAGGAGGAGGCTGATTGGGTCCTTGAAAGACATCTGAATAGGTGTTGAGTAACCACTGGAGTGCTTGTTGGTTTTCCAGTGGTGTGGCTGCTTCCTTTGGACTGGTTAAAACTGGTCTGGTATTCAGTCCCATATGCAATAGGAGGGTTTGCCCTTCACTACAACTAGTCTTGAGGATGGCTCTTAGTCCTTGTTGTGGAGCACTCTTAGCCACCCCGTTCAGATGATACTTCTGTCCATTAATGGAGAAATCCATTGTTAGTTTTGACCAATCACATACAACCGGTCCCAACTGTTGTAGCCATTGCACACTTAATACCACATCAGCTCCGCTCATCTCTAATGGATGGAGGTCCACTAGAAATGAATGTTGTTGTAACTTCAGGTGGACCCCTCTTCATATGCTATCACAACTGATGTTGCTGCCATCTGCTACATGTACATTGAATGGAAACACCTGTTCTTGTATTAGGCCCAATTGTTTGGCTGCCATTTGGGTCACAAAGTTGAGAGATGACCCACTGTCAATTAGAACTGAAATTGCTCAGCCCTGTATTGACCCAACCACTTTCATTGTCTGGGTGGAGGTCAGTGGGTCCAAAACGGATGCACAAGATCGCTTCTCCTTCCAAAACGGAGGTCAGTGGTTCCAAAACGGCCCTGTATTGACCCAACTACTCTCACACAATTTGTTTGAGTTTTGAGAGATTCTCATCATAGTTTTCAAAGCCAATGGGTCCATAACGGATGCACAAAGCCTCTGTGAATTCAGACCAAGAAACCTGTGGGTGGGCTCGCCGGAACCATTGGAACCACAAGATCGCTTCTCCTTCCAGGTTGAATGAAGCGACAAGAACTCTTTGATGGCTAGGTGTATCATGGCATTCAAAATATCTTTCTGCCCTAAAGATCAAGGGTATGGGATCCTCCCCTGAATATTTTGGGAAATCTAGTTTTTCTGAACGAGTTGAGGCCCAACCATGCTGACTGCCCCCTTGATTTCTGCTGTTTCCTTCTTGGTTGCCATCGTGGTTGCCTTTCGTCAAATTTTTCTCCATCTGCGTCATCAACAGGGCTAGTGTTTGCTTGATTTCTTGTAAGTCTCCTGTGGTCTTGTGCAGATGGATCTCCATGCGATCCATCCGATCATCCACTGTTTCTGACCTTGTACTCGGCATGGTGTTGCTAGTTGCAGGCACATAACATGCCTCCCTCTAATAGCTAGCTTTTAGGGGTGAGTTCTCCTAAGGCACATAACAGATGGTATCAGAGCCTACACTATACTTCCCAGTTGCAATCATGCGGTGCAAGTGGTGACGTCGGTATTGCAGTGTTCGGCCGGGACTAGGGGGACTAATGCAAAGCCAGCGTGCATGAGCGCCGGGGCTGCGGAGCGTGGTGGAATGTTACGATTCATTAGTCCCACATCGATAGTATGGGATGCCGTTGTGGGGTGTATATGTGTCTGGGTTCCCTCCCTCTAATAGCTAGTTTTTAGGGGTGAATTATCCTAAGGCACATAACAGATGTCTGGGTTCCCTCCTAATAGCTAGCTTTTAGGGGTGAGTTCTTCTAAGGCACATAACATGTTTGATTTCCAGTAAGATGAGAAACATAGAAGAACTCATCTACTTTTATGCTTCTGTTATGGGATAGTTTTGGGGGGCCAAAATTCAGTCCTTTCTGTAATGAATGGGAAAAATTATTTTTCGAGTTCTTGGTGTCTAGCTATAAATGATATCCATGTGGCAAAGTGAAAAGGCCATTCTGGTTTTTATAGGCAATTGTTTTCCCTTCGCTGCTGATAAAAAAATTGTTTTCCCTTGTGCTTTTTTTCTTCAAAAGGTAAAAGATGTCCATTGTACCTATTAAATTCACTTCATCCATAGAAGATTCTAGATGTAGACACATGCCAATTTTTTTGATATGTAATTTGCAAAAAGAGGATTAGGAATCTCCTACATACAGAAACTTGATATGAGGATATTCATACTTCTATTCTGGATCTTAAAAAGGGAAATCTGTGCATGTACATATATATGGCATCTGGGCATCTTGCTTTTGTGTTTATGATTTCTTTCAATTTGTAGGGTTTGTATTCTTGTCTATAATTTATATCCTTTTTATCTATATTTTTATTTATTTTCTAAAAGGCACACTGTTCTGTAGGAATCACAGGAGGATTCCATGAAAGTAGATTATCTACCTCGTGGTATTGTACAGTCAAGCTCAGATATGGAAATGAGGCCATTATGGTTGACAAGTTGGTCAAAGTTGAAGGTTAGACACTGATCTTAGTTTTGTGCAATATCTTAATATTCATTGTTTTAGCTGGCATTCCTTCACTGGGTAGGCTGGTTTAATTATGCAATAATAATAAAACTATGTTATGTATGCTTTCCTATATACCATTAGGCTTTTAAGCCTTGGAATAATTAATGCATGTGAACTGAATTCAGATCTAGAAGAAAACAGATCTAGGGGTGTCAAGAATAGTCGACCCCCACCCCAAAGAGCCTCTTTTATATTAAAGAGATAAAAAGTATGTACAGTTACAAGAATGCCTTTACAGGGCTTAAAGATAAAAAGAACAAATAAAATAATAAGAACTATGATACTGTACAACAAGGACTACTCTAATAATGTACATTAAGATATATCTTCACACTCCCCCTCAAATTGATGCATAGACATCAGCATCAGTTTGCCCACAAGAATGAGATATCGACTCTTAGTCATGGCCTTGGTGAAGATGTCGGTAATCTGCATGTGAGAGGCAACATGAGGAAGAGATATAGAGACTGCAACAAGGAGGTCTCTAATAAAGTGACAATCCACCTCGATATGTTTAGTCCTCTCATGAAAGACTGGATTAGATGCGATCTTGATAGCGCTGGTGTTGTTGGCATATAGAGGGATAGGAGTAGGAAGAGAAATCCTAAGATCAATGAAAAGTGACTTCAGCCAAACAATCTCGCTACATGCAGAAGACAACTCTATACTCGACTTTAGTGGAAGACTTGGAGACAGTTTGTTGTTTCTTGCACTTCTAGGAGATGAGAGAGTCATCCATGAAGACACACCACCCAGTAGTGGATCAACGAGTGTCAGGACAACCATCCCAATTAGCATCATCATAAACCCTCAACTGTATGGATGATGAGGAAGAGGAAAATAGTCCCTGAGAGGTTGAACACAACATTCCGAGAAATCCGAATGCGACGAGTAGCAAGATCACAAAAATCCTTTGTGGTCATGACTATATCCCACAAAGGCACATATAGCAGATTGAGCAGTTAATTTAGATCGTTCACGAACAGGAAGATGAACAAAACAAAGACATCCAAAAACATGAAGGCTAGAGAAATCTGGGGGATAACCAAAAAGTTTTTGGAAGGGAGAGGTGTTGCCTAGAATAGAAGATGGAAGAAAATTGATCAAATACACGGCTGTACTGAATGCTTCTACCCAAAACGAAGTTGGAGTATGAGACTCCTGTAGTAATGTCCGCACAACATTGATAATGTGTCGGTTCTTCCGTTCAGCTACACCATTTTGTTGTGGAGTTTCTGGGCAGTTGCGCTGAGACTGAATTCCATGACTCCTCAAGTATGCCAAGAAGTCTCTATCTCTATATTCTCCCCTTGAATCTGAGCGGAGGATAGTCACATTGCACTTGAATCGATTTTGCACCATAGTATGAAACAATTTAAATGCACCAAAGACTTCTGGTTTGTATCGTAGAAAATAAATCCAAGTATATCTGGTACAATCATCTATAAATAATACGAAATATTTGTATCCCAATTGTGAAGTAATAGAAGTAGACCAAACATCACTATGTATTATCTTGAAAGGTTTAGTGGCATGTTCAGATTTCTGAAGAAATGGTAAAACATGACTTTTACTCAAACAACACATAGTGGAAGAAACATCCAAAGTATCAACAGGGGGAATTTTATTATTAATCAAACCAGAGTCAAACAAAAATTTTAATTTTTGGGAATATGGATGACCTAATCGTTTATGCCATAAATCCCAAACATTATTTCTATAACTCAACATAGAATCAGACAAAGAAGAACTAAGTAAAGTTGAGGATGCCCCCGGTTGAGACTTCTCGAACTCCAACGCAAACAAATGGCCTAGCCTACGCCCCTTCCCTTTCACCTTCCCAGTGTACCGGTCCTGTATCAAGCAACCATCACGGGAAAATGTGAGAACATTTCCTTCATCAACAAGTTGACCAACAGAAATCAGATTAGTAGTAAGGTTGGGTATTAAGAGGGTTTTGGAGAGAGGAAAGGATCTGGTTGGTGACATAGATCATTACTACCAATGATGTCTAACTTTTCACCATTTGTAGTAATAATGTGTTTATGGTAAGTTTTAGTGGAAGGGATTGGGTGGTTGAGGTAGGCTCCTGTCATATGGTTGGTGGCATCTGAATCTATAACCCAAGCATGTGAAGGGGAAGAACAATATGTAGAGAACTTACCAGACAAGCCAATAGCAGAGAAAGTAGAGGAAATAGTAGAAGACACCAGTTGTCGAACCCTTTCTTCATCCATGACACCTGTTATTCACCTTTCACTGAAGACTCACCCTTGGTAGGTATAGTGTCTGTTGCTGGTCCATCTACTGCCTGATATGCCCGGGGCTGAGTCTTTTTCTGAGAGCCCTTAGCTGGTTGGATTGGATAGTCTGGAATGATGTGACCTTGTTGCTTGCAATAGGTACACACATTCTTCTTCTTACAGTGAGATGCAATATGTCCACAACCCTTACACTCATAGCACTGAGTTTTGGAGAGGTCCTTGGAGGTTGGCTTCTTACCCCCATGAGCAACAAAGGCTGTTTCAGCCCCAACTTCAGCCATCTTCCCATCAAACCCGACTGTAGTGAGAAGTCTAGTCTCTTCTCTCAGAAGTTCCCCTAAAACAGAATCCATATATGGAAGTGTTCCCCTACTCAGAATGTTGGACCTGATTATCTCATATTCAGGTTTAAGTCTCATCAAGAACTAAGTCACCTTTCTCTTCTCAAAGTGCTTCTGAAGATATTTCACTCACTCTGCTGGATCCGAGGGTTCAATGTGAACAATCTCATATTCAGCCCATAAATCAAGAAAAACAGATTAATACTCCTGTATTCTTCTATCTCCTTGGCTATAAGAGAATATTTCTGATTCTATCTGATATTGCTTAGATACGTTGGACTATTGATAAACTTTTTCTAGATACATGTACATTTCATATGTTGTTTTCATTCTCCTCATGGGTACAGATATATGATAGTCTATAGAACTCTGAATCCAAGAAACAAGTTTACTATTGTCCAACTTCCATTGTTGTAAAGCTTTGGCCTCAGTCTCAGCTGGTTTGGTGACCGTTCCATTCAGGTATCCTTCTAAACCCTTTCCCTCAACATAGAAGTCGAAGTGGAACTTCCACATCTCATAGTTCTGTCCGTTCATCTTTATAGGGATGATAACACCTCTGCCTGAAGCCATTACAACAAGAAAATAACACAAATAGGGTTCAATTGAAGTTTAAAGAAACTAATCTGAAGTAAAACTTGATCCAAAGACAAGTGAAATAGGCTGTAATCGATCCAAGAGAGTGAAGGGATGAGAGATCCATCATATGGATGGCCGAACCCTACAGGAATGTTGGGCGAAATTTCAAAAAATCTCTCTCCCATCTGGGAATCGCATTCCCTATTTTGGAAAACTGCATTTTCAAGGATCAATCTTGAATGAAACTGGACCAGATCTGAAACGAAAAGGGAGGAGTGGGATATACCTGATACGGAGTAACAGTAACTCCCAATGAAGGTGTTCACGCCCAAGGAGAAAACCAAAAGCTGCTCCCACTGAAGATGACACAGTGTGAGGTGAAACAGAATCAACAGGATGGCTCTTCAACAAGAACCAAATTCCTCAGCAAGAATGTAGTGGAGGGCCGGTGAGCACAACTTCAGATTGCCTCTTCTAGCAAGAAGCAATATGAAAAACAGTTCTTGATCACTCCCACAAGTGGAGATCGAACTGGGTAGGGGCGGCAAGAGCAAGAGAGAAAAGAGTAGAAGACAAAAGCAGTCAAACTGTGTAATCTTCTATCTGTATTCAACGAACTGTCTATTTGGAGGTTCGCCTTGCTCTCCTATTTATAGCCTTAAAGAGAGAATCTCCTAATCCCATTACGAGTTTCATAATCCAAATTTTTTATTTGGATCTGGACTCTCTTTAACAGATAGGGATAATCCCTTATCTTATCTGTAGATAAAGATCAACATTCCTAATCAATTAGGAATTCCTTTGATCCAAATCTTTATTTGGATTTGGACTCTTTAAGTGGATAAGGATAACTCCTTATCTTATCTGTTGATCCAAATTCCAGATCAGCCCCTATTTAATTAATCTTATTAACCTAGTTCGAATTGGGCTTTAGGCCCATTAAGTTTATATGCTCATTTAACCTCTTAACCTACTGCCCAGTTGGCTCTCCTTGGTGTGGGACCCAAACATTGATGTACACATCAGCCACATGGGTTCAGCCCAGCCTTTGTTACAAGCCCTGGCCGAATTCACTGTAGGAGATAGTGAAC